GTCAGGTCGAAGGCCCGACGAATGGTCCAGACAGGCTGAAGGCCCGGTAGGGCGGACCTGACATGCTGAAGGTTCTGAGAGTGGGCCAGACAGACTGAAGGCCCGGTGAGGGCGGTCCAGTCATACTGCAGACTTTATATGCATGTTGTTTGTTATGATATGGTTATGGTTTGTATGGCGTTGGTATTTTGGGGGAACTCACTAAGCTTCGAGCTTACAGTTTTGGATTTTATTTAAGGTACTTCGGATGATCGAGGGAAGGCGAAGGCTTGATCGTGCACCTCCTCACATTTTATGATTTTGATTTCTGGGATACTCTGACATGAAACTATTTTGAAAACATTTTGTAATAAATAATGGTTTTTGGATGCTTGAAAAAGTTTTAATTTTTCATGAATATTATGGATGTTACATAAAAAGAAATAGATTTACTTGTTTGATGTCATAAACCGAAATTGTGAAGGGTTATATAGAAATTTAAAAAGCAACACAATTCCTCCCATATTGTTAGTTGTAGGGAATGATTGTTGTAAATGAGATTTTAATATGAAAATAGACTCTGTTGTGCCAATAATTATTTTGTTTGCAAAAATTTGGCTTTAGGGGTCAAGTAGGCCGATTTTACGGGTTTTTAAGGCATTTAACCGGTCCAGTTGAACGTGTGTTTTTACAAACCAACCAATTTTAAATGGTTCAACCTGACCCTACCCGCCACAAATATTTTCAATTTTTTATCGGTTTCATATAATTAGGAAACCATGTGTTTATGTGTTATTGATTTGCCATTTTATAGGCCCAATGTTAGCTGGATAGAAGTTCATATTGAACGAGCACATATGAAAAATAAAAGATCACCTACGGAAAGAACGTGAAGAGTCTAAAGCATATCTCCTTGCAATGGTGAATAATCTTATGCATAAATTCATCATTACGACCACTATTCGATGTCGACACATCCTACTAATTTTATGTTTCCAGATTATTGTATATTTGTATATTAGTTGTGAGATCTGTACACTATGTGGGTTGATTAAAACAAAATGTTAAATATAAAGTATTAAACATGAACTTTATTTGAATTTGAAATTTGAAATAAGTTACAACTATGAGAAAAAAAACATGCAAAAAAAATAAACTAAAATTATGTATTTCGTGTACTAAAGGATTAATTATAACAAAATGTTAAATACGAAGGTTTAAACTGTAAATTTATTTGAAATTTGAAAATTTAATTTATGTAAATTAGTGATATATTGGAAAATGAAAAATAAAGTAAATGACAATTGGAAAATAATTATCTTAAAATTATGATAAAATGATATGTGATTAATTGAATGAGAAAATGACATTTAACATTGATATTTATTTATTAGTATAGATTTTGACACTGAAAGGTTGAGTTTTTTTTATTTTTTGTAATTAGATTTATGTCGGTATAGAGAAATCCGGATATTCTATAGTTTTATAAAAGAAGTTCTAAAAATAGTTAAATTAGTGATAATCTTAACAACATAAAGTCCATCGCTAATCAGGATTTAAACAAGTCACTAAATATTGCAAGGAACTATGTCTCTAATTCGTCGTGGAACTTATCTCATGTTATAAAATTTGGTTGTTTAAACTTATGTTTCAAATATGGCGAGAGTAACATGTAGTCGCAGGTTCCTTCTCTAAAATTGGCCACCAACCTATTAGATCTAAATTTTTTCCATCACAAATTTGTTGCTAAGCTGTGGTGTTATTTAAACCTTGTTTTTTTTTTTTTATATTCTATATGTATACATATGTATGTAGTATGTATGTATGTGTATGTAGTATGTATGTGTATGTATATATATATATATATATATATATATATATATAACAATATCTTTAATACAATTCATCGTTAATATTATGCCACGTGTCAGGAAGTTATATTAGGCAAATCATTATCACAATTAATAACGTTAATGTTTTAAGTAATAGATTTTAACCTTTTATAGAAACATTTTTTTTTGTAATTATATGTTAAATTTGAGTTGTAACAAACTTTAAAATTTTTGTATCTCTTAATTAATAATTTATTTAAAATAAGTGATTAATAATTATAAATTTTTACTACAAATCTTTAATAAACTCAGTGGCGGAGCCAGTACAGGGGCATGA